AGAGAAAATATGTATAATCAACACACCTCAAACTATATATTGTTTAACTAAAATATGTTGTGAAAATGTAATTTTCTATCAAATTGTTTGGCCATTTAATCGTTTAAACTTAATCTTGGCTTTCTTAAACTATATTTATAATAATAAATGTATTATCAAGTTTAACCTCTACCTAGATCCTAGAATATGGTCCCTATATAGTTACTAATTTACTATAAGGTGTACCTATATCATATAGTATAATCCACCTGTTTGTAATGCTTGTATACATAAATCTATATAATATATTTATGTTTACTGTATACTTCGGATTCTCGGTTCTGGCTATATACGATATACCAACTATATATACGATGCATATTGTTCGCATTCGGATACACCTAACGTAATATTATATTATGTAGGTAATAATAAATGGGTTTGTTTAAAACGGTATTCACATAATAATATATTATCGTTTATTCGTTTCCATAATATATATTGTACACTGCAGTTGCGTGGCTGAATAATAAAAGTCCGTTTTGATTTATGCGATATGGACGCGTTCGGAGAGGGCCGTTCTCGCGATGCCGGCACCACAAGAGTTATAACTTAGAAGTTATAACCGTTTCCCAAAGACTTCGCATTGGGCTCTTTTTCCTTACACTGCACGAATGCGCGCGCACCCCGAGTAATTTTTAACAGCCTCTGCATGCCACCCCGGTCTCCATTTTTTTCTTTCTATCCCACAGCCGTCGCATAAATCACCGAAACGATCGTTCGTTCGGTATTTAATAATAAAGAACTCTGTCCGGGGGACGAAAATAATGGGAAAAAAACATAAAATAACTACGGAGACTTAAAAGATATCCACCGAGAGCAAAATGTCCGCCAAACGCTGCAATGGGTGAAATGTATATATAGGTATACACGTGCTGTGCCGATAGAACTTAATAAATAGATACAATACAATATATAAATAAATATATATAAGTACATTGCAATCATTTTAATTCGATGGGTTTGTAGAGTTATAATTATTTTATTATAATGTATATAAAGCGGTTTTCTACACATAGTATAGGAGTTTTTAATTTTAACTTCATAAAGCCGTGGTACCTTCACTCGATGGATTCTTCCCTCAAGACACTCAAGCCATTACACATCATTTAAAAAAAAAAAACCATACATTATGCTTATTGCACTTTGTTTTAGTATAGATTGTATAATTTTCTATATTAAAAAAAAAAACTTTTTATATACATAGGTATATCAAGTATGTATGCGTAGTAAAGATACTAATAATGAGTAATAAGTCATCGAATAATATTTTATTGTTAATTTTTATAAATTGTACAGATAATCCAAATCAAAATTTAATTGTAGATACATTCTTGTGGACGTATGGCTATTTGAGTTGACATTTTTAATTAAAAACGTTTCAGGTGAAACCAATGACGTTCGGATTCACTGATATAGGTACTGATTAATTATCCCATGACATATTATATTACCATCAATATTTACGTATAAAATATTTGGTTTGAACTAATAACGTCCTGGGGGTCTATTCTCAAAAATAACGACCATACTTATACGTAATTACTCGTACAAGAGCAGTTCGTTACCTTTGCTCGTCTATGTTTATCCCTATATAAAATATAACCAATATTTATAAGTCCAACTCTATAAATTATTTTCCTATAATTGTAAGTGTAATCTGTACAATTGTATAATGAGATGTTAAATACATAACTAGCATAATATTTTAATAATGTTTTTATAAAAATTTCCTTACCATAATATGAAAACAGCTATAAATAGTTCATATAATACACGTTAATAGTAGGTATGCGCTATGTACAGTATACTATAAATCTTCATACACGATTATTTTACTTATCTTTTGCCAATGTTTAATTTTAATTTTACAAACCTATACATATTCTAAAATACAATGAACTATATAAAGTATAATAAACAGTCGTATATATAGACAAGAAGATATACGGTTGCATGACTTAATAATTGTATAATTATACAGTAAGGAACCTAAAAGTCATGTATAGGTGACTTGTAGGTGTATACGTTTTACCTTGACATGTCACCTAAAGCTTAATCCTGGAAAAATGTGAGGAGATTCTCAATGAGAGGAATTGGAACTTAGTTTTTTTTTTTTTAATGAAATATCTTAGAAATGTCATCGTTTGAGACACGGAGACGCGACAATAGTGTGCAGTTTGAGAACTGAATGAGAATCGGATGCTGTCAACGGAAATTGACAAAAAGTAATACGAATATCACATATTTGAGGCAGATACGGGGCAATCATTTTTCAAAGGCTGACCAACAGGAAATATCGCAGTTCCGCGATCCATTATAGTAAAATACACATTGTCTCAGAAAACACTTCTTTAAAAATATTTTGTTCACATAAAAGTGCGAAAACAATTTATTCTTAATGTTGTTTATCGTTATTATTATTATTTTTTAAGTTTTTACATTTTTAAACGACAAAGTACATTTTTGTTTTTATATTATTCAGAATAATTTATCTATCAAATTTAGGGCGAGTAGTTTTGAGTTATAAGTATTTAAAAACTATTTGAGCAGGGTTTTGTAATGAACCAACATTTTGCAGGGTATTCCTATACCCATATACCACCCAATCCACTCTCCTCAACACAACTTTAAATACTTATAAATCATAAACTACTCGTCCGTCGTCCGAAATTTGATGTTCATACATTTAAATACCTACTCTGAATATCCTGGTTTAGAGTATGAATCAAATAAAATAAATGTGCCATCAAAAATATGAAAACATTTTAAAATGATAACAATAACAAAATATAGTAAAACAGATCATACGAAATACGATTCTGAGTGGGTACTGAATACGGTCTGTTCTGTTAGCCTAAGATATTATAATATATTTTATACTTGCCATTATTAAATTGCAAGTCCTTATATATTTTCTTTAAATTTGTTACAATCGACGTAGGATAAAAACTAATAAGGTGAAAAATAGTTTGAATTATGTTCGCCACTGATTATTTATTATATTGCTCAGCTGTGTCTTTTCGATGAACGAGAACATTCAAAAACCATTAATAGTTTGTTGATACTTGAATACTTGATAGCAGACTTCCGAGGTGTACCTATACTTTCATATCCTATATAATATATTAACTTAACTCGTGTCTCTGGTTAATATACGTGAGTAATGAGTTGATTAGTTGAGTATATTGACTAATGAAAATATGTATTATGAATTATTATAAGTTATAACTGTTGATTTTTCATCTCCGATAGTAACGTGGAAAATAACTAGCGTGAAAATATTAAAATATATAGTAACTTATCGTCAGATCTTACTACAGACTTTGTACCTTGATATTATTAATATTATATAACATTATATATAGTACCGACATGGTAGTATAGCTGCTTAACTCGGATTTATTTTTATTATAATAAATATTTTTTTCGAATTCAATATCAGAAAACGTTTGGGGTTTTATGTGCCCAACACATGTGTGACGCCGTGGCGTGATGTTATAAATCCGAAGAAATTTTCAAGTTTTTACGACCTTTCAAAGGATTAGGTTTTCCTGAACCGTCTTTTGCTACAATACCCATTGTTTTGAAATGCCGATCCGTTTTTACGACCATCCATGGCCGTCGTTTTTATACGCATCGCGTGCATATATATGTACACTCATACAAGGGGAGCTTCTTAATATTATATCATATTATACAAATACATATATAGGTACGAACACATATATTAAATATGGTAGGTATATATCATTCGCCTCTTTTTTATTTTCAGTAAACGAAATCGTACATAAAAATAAATATAAAATATCGCTTCGAGAATTATGAAAATATTTTGTACCGTGAATGTTGTACATGGTTTTTCTTTTGTTTCTTTACTACCACCATAGGTGGTGGAAGACATGAGTATATAACTACCTACCTACTATATTATGCACTATACATATTATATATAATAATATAATATCGTTATATACCAACAGTACACCCGATTTGACTCGACTTATCGCACAACCATAATTTATCTCTCCGAATTGTCGTGGTCTTACTGATGACCGATCTACCTACTTGGCTGTAACCGTGTAACCGTATATAATATTATAATGTATTTTCCACTAACGTGTTGACACGTTAATAATGACAATTGAAAATATGTATAATAAAATCATACCTATAAAAATAAATTAAATAGGTAATATACCAAAACGTTTATTTGTTTAAATCATAATAGGATTTGCGGTATAACAATCTTAATAATCTAGGTATAACTTTTATTTTCAAGTAGCATTCGAACGGCTGCAACCGTAGTCGGTAATACCTGATTGACGAGGGTCAATTTTTTTTTTTGGATTGATAGTATTTGATACCTATCCAGGCATCAAGATCAACAAAATAAGCTTCGGATCGCTTTGTCCGTTTGCACATTCAAGCCGGATTCACAGCTGCGTCGTGTGTCGTGTCGTGTCGTGTCGATCAAATCGTACTGTGATTGGATATTAATTTTTTGGTATCATGTAATAACCAAGCGGCAACCGAGTATACCAAGAATTGACTACAGCTCAACTTTTAAACCATATTGGTTAACAGTCGTAACCTTATAATAAAAAAGCCATCGCACTACACGACACACGACGTAGCTGTGAATGCGCCTTGATTGCGAACTTGGTTTTAACCGCTGTGGTTACCGGTCTGTCACATCACACCGGCGAATTACTGTAGGCTCCCTCAGTAAACTCTCGTGCATCGCAGCTGACTACACGTGAGGTGTAGCTTAGCTGTTTTCAAACTCGCGAGACGTCTCGACCGAAACTCGCGCCGGGACGTACACTATGTCGGCCGAACTACACTGCGATGTCCGATATCAAACCTTCAGCGGCGACGAGACGGGCGACGTCGTTACTGCAGTGTTGAACAATGGTCAACATAATGTATAAGAACTCTACTTTTGCCAGGGCCACTTAATGGAGACCGTTTGCATCGAGGAGAGCCGGCAGACGGTGAATCGATCAGCACCGAGGCGGCAGGCATCGCCCTCAGAAACCGTCTACACCGCGAAGTTCAGCGTTAAACTGCAGGACGCCTGGTCGCCGGACCGGCGAGTTCACTGTGACTTGCCGATGACACGATTTTCCAGGTCGGGACATTTCTCAGCTATTGAATAGTGAATACCTATTGGCTATATTGATATAATCATATAGTATATTATAATATTTAAGGAAAGTGAGCTATAGAGTATAATGTTCGTATATTCTTCGTTGTAACAATAATACAGAAATACTAATATAATGTAACACAGAAACGAACAATATATTTTTCAAACACTAGGTTTATATAGTCGTCAACAAGATTTTAAAAACATTTTTTAAATGTCGAACATCAGTTTATCTTTTATTATGGTTTTTTTTTATTATGGCATAAGTCAACATACTATTAATTGTAGTATTATTAATACCTATTATATAGACTAGTATAGTATATTTTTCTCTAGCTATATAAATATAAATAATATTATACATTAACTGCATACCACCTATACTAAATCATAATCGGCGTATGTGTATGTTCATCTCATTTATCCTATTTCATCAATCCTAAACTACTATGGTGACAGGTCGGAATTCCGAGTCCAGTCGTAAACTTTAACGTCGTTTTATACACATAATATTATATATACAATAATATGTATTCGACCCTCTGGCCAAGAGGGTTCGTAAATACGTTCGATTTTTGGAGAGAAGAGGAGAAGTAATCATACATAATTCACGAGATGTTATCACAGAGCTATTCGACTCTTATAAGGGGGAATTTTCGAAGGAAAAAAAGCGTCGTTTTTATTACTTACGTCGGACCGTTGTTGTCACTACGGACCCATAAAACGTGACCACTGCCTTAATTCTAGAACGCGCCATCTTGTAATTAAACTCTTAACGACACATTAAATCCAAATAAGTTGATAACATAAAGCCGAGGCGCATATATTTATATATATTATATATACCTACCCTAAAGGGATCTCCGGATCGTAACTGCACTTTTCATTATGTGTACACAAACGTACGAGAAAGTATCGTACACATACATTTTATATATATATATATATGTTTGTAATGTATACATATTATATAATATAGTGTCGTATAATAAACTTCTTAGATATACCATGTACATATAATAGCTTGACGATTTCGAAACAGCAAGTTATATACTTATATATTATACGTGTGTGTTTCTACATGTATTCATTGTGATTTGTGAAAATATATTAATTCCAGTCACCAGACTTGGGGGCTGCTTTCAAAGTACCAACTCTTTCCACTTTCCACTATAGATAATATAGATACATCATTCATGGATAGGCCATAGGTATATTAACACAATGGGGGGTAGCGGTCTTTTTTGTAAGAGAAGAAAATATATTTTAAGAATGTTCTCGGTATTGCATGGAGCACTATTTAAGGTTATACTCAAATAAAATCACCGATATAATCGTATTATCTATAATCTTCGATATATATTAAAATGATAATGAAAAATATTTACCCCATATAACCTAAAAATTGATATTAATAAATGTCCTCTTATTAGCTCCAATGGAATATCCATCTCTTTATTATCTATCTGCTTTCCACCCGAAAAAATTAACTACATAAGTCAATACTGAAGGATATATTTTTTATTGATCTCAAAGTATAAACCCAGCATCTGTAACCATATTAATTATATAGTTAAGTAATTTGCAGTTATTTACAAATACATATATACATATATGAATTACACTACGTTAAAAGTAAATAGTAGTGTAACTCTATTTATAAAGCTAATTTTAAAGGTTCTCATCTTTCATATATATTGAGTTATACAAGTTTATTGATTTTAAGAAGGCTATAATCTTGGTGTTGTCCCCGGTTTCTGGTCCCAGTACAGTGACAATAGGATCGAATCCATTCCGATATTTTGTCGAACTGGGTCCTATATGGCTATATTTGACACATTTAGTAAAATACAATTTTTTTCTTTAATACTTCCTAGCTGCATGACTATCCCGTCTTCGCCCGTGTGTAGGTTTTTTGTGCCAAATCATATAAGTAGGTATATTATACTATACTGTACGCTACATAAGTGTATCTCGATTTGAGTGTATCCAAGCCCGGATTAAGACATTTTGAGGCCCAGGGGCCAAAGTTTTAAATGAGGCCCCTGTACGAAAAAAAAAAAATAATGTTTATATTATTCAATAATATGTATATGTTATAATAACTATATATAGATATTAGGTACATAGCAATAAATAATGAATAATGTATCATTTTATTTATAAATTATAATTTACAAGCTATTTTCCTTGCTAAATAATCATCGATATTTTTGTAGGTGATTTATGCAGTGTTATAGCCTATAAGGAAAAAAGTAATGAACAATTCTGAGGCCCCTAAATAAATTCCAACTACGAGGCCGGGAGCCATTCCCCCCAGGCTCCCCCCCTTAATCCAGGTTTGAGTGTATCTCAGTTATAGTGTACCTTAGTTTACGGACAAATCAGCTTCAGTGTACCTAAATCTATGTGAAATAATTTAACCAAGATGGGCAACTGAAAGTGTGGATTGGATTTAGCAGGTATATTTCTTAACGTATGGCTTAAACTACTTACTCTCTAAATGTTTATGACATAGGTATCTAAAAACAATATCTGAGCTTTTCATCAAATTGAATAGTTTTTGAGTATATAAGCTACATACTTACATATACTACCTATATTGAGTATGGTATAGTCAATGGTGGGCATTAACTTGTTAAAAAGTTAAAGTTAAGTTAAAAAGTTAATTTTTTTTTAACTTTTTAACTTAACTAGTTAGTTTTTTTTGTTTTTAACTTATTAACTTATTCAGTTAAATTTTGTATTGTTTAAACTTAACTTTCTAAAGTTAATTATCATTATTGTACAGTTAAGTTAATTAAATTAAATTTTTATCATGTGGAACCAAGAGACAAAACTTATTCTTTCTATTTTGCCATTTTGGTAATTTATTTTTCTAATAATATAATATCATCAATTCATAATAATCAAATTATATTATAATCTATAGGTACTATAGTAAAGACTAAAGAGTAATAATTAGTATACTATCCTTGTATCGACTGGCTATTTTCACGAATTCTATTATTTAATGATTTAATATTATTTAATGGTATTGAATAATCCGATTTTTGTTTTATCTAACTCTCCAATTCCTAAAAACAGGTTTAAAACTAAATATCATAGTCTTTAAATGGATATAATTATATCAATAATATATACTGGTTACTGGTAAATACGACAATTCCAATAGACAAAACAAAAAGTCGTCCGAGATATTTATAAATTATAATTTATATTGCCGTATTCGTTATAAATACAAATAAACGTATGAGATTAGAAAATAACATCATCGAAATAAATATGGAAACAATTTTTGGTAGGTATTATACTATTATCATTATTCATTGATTTTATTTTAATAATAGACTATTATAATGGTACTAAATGACAAATATTTAAAAACAGCCTATACCTATTAATATTATGACTTAAAAAAAAAATTAACTTTTTTTTAACTGAGTTAAGTTAATTTTATTTTCCATCTTAACTTTTAACTTAACTAGTTAAATATTATTTTTTTGTTAACTTTTAACTTAACTGAAGGCAATTTAATTGAATTAACTTAACTTTCCACAGTTAATTATTTTCATTAACTTGCCCACCATTGGGTATAGTATGGTATAGTTTCTATATTCGAGGCCATAAGCACGACAATTTGATGCATGCTTATACTTGCTCAAGTAACCAATGGAATCTATTTATATACCAAAAAAAAATAACAATTCTACTATAACTTTAATAAATAATTATATTCTGAAACCCCAATTGCAACCTTTTATAAACAAAAAAAAAGTTTCTATTCCAACCGCGAATCTCAAAATATTTGTTTGACCACCTCTTTAAAATGCGAATTCCAATCGGAAAATCCTTTCTTATTGCACGCTTCTAGATCATTAAAGGAACCACTATTCAAAATCTCGAAAATGTAGCGATGCATGAGTGAGTGAGTGGTATTTTACTAATATAATATAAAATATAGTCAATATAGATTATAATATTATTAAAGGGCAAATTATATCAGACGTAGCCAGTTGGTATTGTTCGACAGACATCCTCGTCAATCCTGAAATCGGATAGGTATTTTTTTTTTTTTTGATAATTGCGACGTACGTGACGTGGCAGCGCGCACTGTTCTGCGAGGCGGTTGCACGTGGGCCCGTTCTGTTCGCCGCGGTGTGACGTGGCGTGAAGTGACAAACCGTGCGCGGCCCGGCACCTTAAAGCAACGACCACTACCGTTTTGTTGAATCTACCTTGCTTGAACGGGCCCCTTGCGGAAACTGGCCCACTGCTTCCCCGGAGTTTTTCAAAAAAAATTACGGAAAACCCAGAATAATAAATTATAGGTACCTACTCAAACTCAACATTATTTTTCGATAAAATGTATTTTATTATTCGGCTGTTGTCATAAACATTAAATATTATCGAAGAGTCTCGCTAGAGACTCCTTTCTGTGCATAAGTAACACCGATAAGAAACAGCACCTTGACAACCGATAGCGAGACTATTATACATTAAGTTTCGTTTCGGCGCTCGGACCTCTCACTCGCACGCATTGGTTGAATGCAGAGTGCGAGAGAGACAGAGCTAAAAACTGCAGTTTTGTGAGTCTTTTTCTTTCGTCCGTCATAGCAACGTCATCCAACGCCGCGCCGTAGCAACCGCCACGCGCCGGCCGCTACCGTACCGCGAACCTCACCCACAACAACAGCTATTTACAGCTAGCTAGTTTTACGTTTGCAGAATTAATATTAATTATTATTTAGGTATTTTTATTATATTATAAAATATTTTTTACGTACTCGCGTTGTTGCGATACCGAGGTCTCGTGCATTTACATTATTACATACGTTATTTTACGCGATTTATTGTTACAAAACAACAGCTACGTAAATATGTACCTATTATTACTATTTTAAAACTATAATAATAATAATTATTATTAAATCATTGTGTTATTAATATAAATTTATAATTAATAATTTGTGACAACTCGAGACATATTACTCATGGCTCGAGAGTCAT